TGGGTGTGTCAGAGGCAGTGCAATTGGCACAGGATAGAGCAGGGTTTAGGGCTGTTGTACATAGGGTCGCTATGAGTCGCAAACGACACGATGGCACAAAACAACAACAACAACCTGAGTCCATTTGATGAGTGAAAGTGGAGGAGTCACAATAGAAGGATCCCGTCAACAGGGGGAGAAATGTAGAACAAAATTGCAATTTGTCATAGAGTAGGAGAGCTCTGGCAGCATAGACCATAGGGAGTTTTCCTGCTAACCTAAAGGCTGAGCCTCTCTGGCCTATCAAATGCACCAGCAGTTTCAAGGGAGAAAAATGGGCAGTTTCCACTTATGTTATTTACAGCCTCCTAAAACCCCTAAAGGGTCAGCTGTGAGTTGATTCTGACTCTCTGAAATTGAAGCTGAGTACAAGGAGAAATATCAAATAGAAATGTCATTAAACAAAATGTTCACCTAAGTTAGTATGTCTTATTCTAATAATAGGAAAAATAGTAGCTGTCATACATGTTTTTCCTCTGAAATAAAAATTATTAGGGCCAATTTTTTTCAGAGAAAGAAGAAGAGACACATCACTGTCATATATGTCAGTAGTCTGAACATTAACACCACCAGTAATCTGTAAGTTTGTCTTGCTGTGGGGACTTGTCTGATTCTGGAAGTTATGTAGCAGTATTTTAAAAACTAGTAGAGTCATTCACGGTGAATAGATTTCAATAGACCTTCTAGACTAAGACAGACTGGAAAGGAAAATTGACCAATGAAAACCCTGTGAATAACAGCAGAATACTGTTTGAAATAGTGCCCTCAGATTAAAAGGCACAAAATATACAAATGGAGAAGATCTGCATCCTCAAAGTAGAGTCAACTTTAATGATATGTTTGGAGTAAGAATTCAAGACTTTCATTTGCTGATAAGGCATGACTCAAAATGGGAGTGGGGATGCGGGAAAGGGGGAAAGCAGCAGACTATGCAATGTACATCTTTTGGGGCCAGAGATTCCTATGCCAATCAGACCTGGACCTACATGAGAGCAGTAGCAGCATCTGTGAGAACCAGAGACAGCACTGACTTGGGACAGCTTCCCTACAAACCCAGAGCCAGAGGCCTTTGCCCAAGCTTGCTGGAGGAGTAGAGGAGAAGCAATAATTGGTAGGACTAAGGGAACTTTTTATCACTGACCTAAACTGTGAAGTTGAAAGCTGAGGGCTTGTGAGCACACTTGAGAAGTTGTCTATTAACTTCCCTAGTAAATCTCGTAACTGTATGATTCTGTGAGATCTGTGTGACCATTGAATGTGATTTCTGATCCAGTTGTAGTACAGTACAATTGTTGTTGTTGTTGTTATGTGCCGTCGAGTTGCCTGCGACTCATAG